GTTCTTGATATTTCGATAGAGGGCAGCAGTAGTACTAATTTCTATCTACGGCTCTGTATAATAATTGTCTGTAAACAAAGTAGCAACAACAGAGCCAAATAAAAATATCACAAATGAAAAAAATGCACCTGAACATATAAAGAAAGAAATTTTATGACCAGATACTTTACATACTGCCTATCAAGAAAAATCTAGGAAACCTAAAAAATGTTATTAAAATTATGAATATCTCATTTTAAAGGATCACATTAATGCTAAGTTCAATACTGTACCGGTACAGCACTACCAAAAACCAGTCACTAATAGACAACAACTGGTTTTCGCTGATCCTTTTTACTATTAACAAAAACCCTTCAAAATGCTCACAGTACAGCCAGTTTAAGGGTGCACAAGAATACAGTTAATTGACGTGGTTTCACTTTTTTTTATTCGAATTTATAAATTATGCAATTTAGACAAACGAATATGGAATTAATTTCTCACAAATTTTGAAGCTCGGGATATCTACCCCCAGCTTTCACTCTCCCACACAACAGCGCCACGGCACTTAATCAAGTTCATCACCTGCTTGTTAACATTAGTTCAGACATTTTTTAATAAGCCTGCTTTGTTTAGAGAACTTATCAGAGTAGTAATGGGATTGATAAATGGTTGAAAATTTATATAATTATAATATAGATTAAAAATAAATAAATTTTAAAATGTTTTCTATAATTTCTATATTGTATACTTAGAGAGTGCGCTAAGCCAAAATAACATTTAATTTTCATTTTAAATTATTTGGGCGGAGTGTATAAAATGCATAGTTGGTACTTACCAAATAAGATGAGATCTTTCGGGTGTAACATATTTCAAAAAACCAGTGACCAAATAATGCAGTACAGTACAACTATGTATGTGTAAGACAAAAGCTAAATTATGAAAAAATAATGACGAATAACGTAAGCTTGTTAAAGAATTATGATCAATGATTAAAAGGTAACAACCGGGATGCAGGTGCTCCATAAACCGTCTGCAAAGAAGTGCTTCATAACACGTCGGCAATAAAATATATTACAAGATGGAACAAACAATTACACGTATAATAATTTATTTATATCACATGAATAGGCCTATGGTGTAATAGAATCAATATAAAATATTAATAATGATTAAACACGGCCCCGTTAAATTGTTGGCCCCTATAAAAATCAAAGTTATAACTGAGAATGGACAAAAAAAATGTATTGGCCATGAATGCCTAATAAAACTTTGACTAGATCTATATCTATTCACTTTCATGAACGATCATTATTCTGGTGGTCCCAAAACCAAGGAAATAATCCGGTTGTCCGAGGAGAATTTTTATTTCTTGTAGGAGTTATTGTGTATGGTATTTCTGAAACTATAGCTGTATCCAGGTTACAGTAAATTTAATAGGCCCCTATCTGATGTATAGATACCGGTAAACCATATCTAATCCTCAAATGGCCGGGATAATCGCGGAATTGTGCCAGTCAATCATCCTATCCTATGGGTTGCACTGTTTACACAAAGATCAATTTTAATAAGCGTTTCAAAAGAAAAACGCTAATTAAATTTATAAATTTCGTTAAATCTCTAGCAAGTTTCTAGCATTTTTTCATCGTTTAAAACTGTTTTGTATTAAAAGTATTGTTGAAGTAAAACCCTTTGATAACCGATTTTCACCAAGGCCACGGTGGGGCTGAACTGAGGCAAAAACGTTCGGATTATAGCACCTCTGTTGGCCGGAATTATGGCACCCTTAGACTTAGAATTTGCCATAAAAGTTTATTTTTTTCGTGCACCATTTTTTTTATATTCATTAAAAAATTTAAAGGGAGACCACACCCCCTTGAATCCGCCACTGTTACTCCGGATCGTCACCAAAATTTCCTTGGAACATGACGAACTATAGAAAAATTCATACAGATTCATCGATCATTTTTTTTTAGATATATATATCTGGAACGTTAGCTCTTATAATGGCCCCTTTTAAATTCACACTCGAATCTGGATTGTCACCAAAATTTAATAATTTCTAGCTTGGAACTTGGTTAACACTTCAGGATGTTTCATACAGATCAGTAGACAGTTTCTGAGATGCGAGTATTTTTCTTTCGGCACACTGACAACCCACTCCGGTAACCAAAATAGAATACATAGGCTATAGGGCCTACCTAAAACTTTATCCAGGAACAAACATTCAAACACACCGGGAAACACACACACCAGCACAAAAATGGAGTGAACGAAAATGTAATCCAGGGGTCCCAATTAGGAAGAAGTCTCAGATTTAAATTTGAATATAATTGTTCTTTTCTAGCACAACCCTCCCCCTTCCCCCTACCGTTGCAGAAGGAGATTGAGGACTGGACAAGAAAGTGCGACGACTACGAGGACTGCATTCAAGACGAAAAAACTATTAATTATGATTTGGAAACTGATTTAAAATTAATTAAAGACAATTATGAAATGAAATGTGACGAATTAACTAAATTAACATCTAAGGTAGACAAATTAAAGAATGATGCAAGTAATGCCAAACGTAGAGAAAGAAGAAAAAACAAAAAAGCAGATGACTTAAAATCTAAAATTAAATCATTACTGACAAGGACAGATGCAAGACAGGAGACGACGAGAGAAGAAGGGTTGGGAGATGGCGTGATAGAAGAGAGAGAAAAGGAAGTTTTGAAGATAGAAAGTGAGATGAGGAGGGAGGAAGCGATGATGGTGAAGGATAGAGAGGTGAGAGATAGGGAGAGAGTGATGATGGTGAAGGATAGAGAGAGGACAGCGAGGGAGGGGGAAATGATGGTGAAGGATAGAGACATGACATGGAGGGAGGAAGCTGTGATGGTGAAGAATAGAGAGTTGATAGAGAGGGAGAAAGCGATGATGGTGAAGGATAGAGAGAGGACATCTTGGGAGAGAGAGTTAAGGGAGAAAGAGAAGGAGATTGAAAAGAAAGAGACAAAAATGAGGAAGAAAGAGACAGAGATGAAAGAAAAAGAGAGAGTATTAAAAGTGCAAGTAGTGAAATAAATTCTTTATTTAAATCAATTAAGAATAAAGAAAAAAGGCTAAAACAAAATAATCAAAATTTAAGAGAAAAATTAAAAACTAAATCTAAGTTAATAAAAGAACAGAACAAAAAGACAATACAATTAAATAAACTAAAAATACAAAATAAAAAGCATAACATATATACAGTTCAAAATATTTAACAGTTTTTTTTTTCAAAGTTCAAATTCAATTCAAAGTTCAAGTTCAATTTGGTCGTTGTCGTTTTTATAATCAATTCCGTCGTTGTTTACTTCTACTTGATTATTTGGTTCTGGAACTAGTTGTTCAAATCGTTCGTCCAGTGGTATTTGTATGTTTTGTCGCATTGATGCATACCGTATCTTATTTCCATACGTCTTCTCTTGGCCTTCTCGTGTTGTCAATTAGAGATACGTGACTGGTATAGTCGATGCATTGCTTACAGTTTCGTGAGCTGAATGTAGGTTTGGCCATTTGTTTGTTTATCATTCTAACAAGTTTTTCATTTTCTTGTTTTTGACTGGCAGCCCTGCATTCTGCACCATATACCCTGTCTTCATATGATTCTACTTTGAGAAGTAGACGTTTTGCTTTTTCCATATATTGGTTCTCTTGGTCAAGTTCATTACGCTCTTTCATCCACGTAGTCTTTCAATTCTTTCTCTAAATCATGTAATATGGTCTGATCAGTTAGCGTCTCAAGTGTGGATTCGTATCTTCTCTTGAAGGCATTTCTAGATCTAGTTGTTTCTCTAAACAGATCACCTAAGTCTTGCATATTGTTTGCAATATTAGATAGGAGCAGATTCTTGTCGTGCAGCTCCTCGCCCTTTTAGGCGTATTTGAGGATAGCTCTTATTTGGTTACTAATGCTAACTAGCTTACTGTAATCGATTTTGAGATTACTTACATTCGCCTTCCATTCCGCTAGCTTAGTTTCGAAGTTGCGATTCATTATCATTATATCCATAAATATTCTGTTGTTGCAAATTTCTCCATTCTTTTCATCAATGATTGTTATCAATTCAGTTATCTTGTCTTGGCATTCTTCTTTTATTTCTTTTTCAGTAATCACGTCAATTCGTGGACTTTTTCCTGCATTTCAATTGATTTTTTCCTGTATTGTTCCATTTCGTCAATGTAATTATGGATATCTTTTTCAATCGCTTCAGCATTTTGTTTTTTCTTCATCTTGTCGATTGTATTAATTTGGTCAATTTGTTGTGCGACTTCAGTTATATCAGTCACAAGTAGCTTCCATTGTTTCCTTTGAAGTGATTTTCTCTGATTTGTTCTTTGACATCTTCAAGAATATCAAGTATCTTAAAAGTAGGCCTAATAATATGTGCTTTTTTCTGTAAAAGTTGTAGTAAATACAAAAACTAACCAGATTATACACAACAATCCGCAAATATCCTGGCAATATTTATGTTTGTTGCAATGTCTATGTAAGAGGCTGATTTCAATTGGTGTGTCTGTTACAAGATTTACATTTGTAAAAAGCACTGCATCTGCTGCAGTATTATCAAAACAATTTCCCCACATCGTTCAGTTTCTGTGAGTAGGTATACCAGGAAGCAAAATAATTTATCGCTTTGTATTTTAAGTTTCCAACGTGGGTTGTTCTCATCATTTATCCTAGGTTTAAGCCACTTTTGAAAGTTAATGTCGTCAACTTTTGTTGGGACATCATCTTTAGATCTTTTTCAGACTTTTTCCATTAACATGAAATGGATTTACATGCTGGATCAATAAACCACCAAGCTTTTGCACTGTCCACTTTATACACTATAGCAACTACATGGTTACAATAACACCAACACTGTACTGGTTCCTATAAGGACAACAATAAAGTAAATATGTGACATGATGTGGCCATTCCCCAATAAGACTTTATCTGGTCTTTAAGTATATGAAAAAATATGACCAGTATTAATTTATGGCGATGCTTTGAA